GCGCTTTACTTTTAACACAAATTTTAACTTTTTTTACAAATTTCCTTTTGGGTATTTCGGGTTTCGATAGCTATTTTCTGCTATCGTTATCAAAAGAACTTAAATGGAATAAACGGAATAAACGGAATGAAAAGGTTCGTAATAGGTTTATTTTGATTTTGTTTTGCTCGTGGGAATTCTATTTCGTTAAAACATTTTTCAGTAAAAGAATTTGAATAATTATTGAAATTTGGAATTTCTTTTATAAATTGTTTTTCTTTGGAAAAATTAGATTGATTACAAATTATTTTTGCTCTATCATATAGACTTTTTACGATACCTTTTTTAACCATTATTGGGTGATTTGAATCGAAATTCAAATATCGGTTAGTATGAGTAGGTTTTCTATAGACCTCAAAAATTTTAAAGACAAAAATTTTTGAGGCGAAATACCCAAAAAGAAGTTTGTAAAAAATGAAACCGCCTCAACAATATAGAACTTATCTAAAACTGAATCTTTTCTGCAAAAAAATGGAGAGATCGATTTTACAAGTAAACTCGTCTCCTTTGTTTGGACTCAGTTCTGTTGCTGGAAAAATCTAGATTGCTTTTTTTAATTGTTTAAACAAAGCCGTAAAACGTTACTCAGAAAAAAGTGTTTTAAGTGAACAAATGAATCAGAACTCATTAACTCATGAGTTATAACTCTTTAACTCATAACAACGCAACTCAACACAGTGTTACCCACCCCACTCAAAGAGAAAGTTTAGATCAAATTATTTAGCGCTTGAAAAATGCATATTCAAAGTGCCGAAATCCGCTCCCTTGGGGTTCATATAAATTATAAATGATCGATTTTTCCACATTCCAGTCCTCCCGTGTATGATTGATGGGCATGTTCCAGTTTGCTCGCGATAGAACTGACACAGCACTTGAAGCTGAATTGAAAATTTAAAATTTCACACGCTGAACTTTGCATGCTTGTTTAGCTGTTGTTGTTCGGCAAATGTCCCTTATTATGTCCGAGTGAAAGTGCGTCACAAACGACCACTAAACACATTCATCACACCGCAATTACATTAATCAGCTCTATGAACTTAATTAGTTGCACTTTACAAGTTTAGGTGTGTTCTGTTCAAGTTTCTGGCCGAATTTAGCGTTTAGATTAGTCGGTGACAATGTTTTTTCTTCTAGTCTTCCGCCCCAACCATGCAGCCTGCACAGAAGACGTTCCTGTCGTCAAAGGAACCAACACAGCCAACCAGTATTTCCGATCCTTCTTCGCAACCAATCAGCAACAATTCCTCCAGTTCAGCCATTCCGGATCTGCAGCAGCTCTAGTTTGGGTTAGACGACTGGTGAGTGGCATTTGGATTTATTGCTGTGCATGTCATGCTGTGATTGCCTCGATGTCTTTGCAACTGCTATCAAGGGTTTTAAACCCCAAAGTTTTCTGAACCGGATGATGGGTAAATAACCAGTTTTGAGTCAGAATTTCCTTCTGAATCAAAGAGCAATAACTTGTTCTGATACTGTAAAGTTGGCAAAGTCTTCCACACCAATGCCGATTCCCATAACTTCTAATACATCGACTAGAAGATGATTTACTGCGTCAGCGTTCCGAAAGATTGCCTTCGGCCCAACTTGACATCTAATTTCGCCTTGAGCTTTGCTTTGCTTCGTATCGGACCATTACTGTCGTGTTTGCCACTTTGTTGTGGTCAAATTAGGTAACGACCATAACCTCACTCAACCTTATCGTTTGTCTGATAAAAATTCGAAAAGCCTTCGATGCAAAATCGACATTTCGACATTCTTTGATTTATAGCATCGTATCTAAAAGATGAATCGATCTGAAAGTTACCAGTAAAATTGACTGAAAGAACAGTCTTTCCAACAGTGACGTTTCCTTTGACAATGACATTTCACAGTTTTAGAAAAAACGATTTTTATCGTTTTTCTTCGAAACCAAAAGTCACAGATCATTCATAGTTCACAGTTGTCATCTGACAGACCATACTTATGGATGCTGTATGTCAAATAAACGTCAACTGTCAATTTTGACATTTTTCATTGACACAGCATTGACAATGGTGTCAATCGATCGGGCTCGACGAGCTGATTCCAAATATATATAATATGTCAACATTATCTTTCTAACCTCAAAGGTAGAATTTTTTCTTCGATTTTGGGTGGAAATTTTCAAAAAATTCCCCCGTTCAAACCGTGCAATGTGGAGAGATGGGAATTTTACATATGACATAGTATGATCCGGGATTACAATCGTGGGCAGATACCATCATCGTAGATGGCGCTGTTTGGGCTACATTGTC